ATTCACATGACGGTTGTTGAACCGGGGAGTTGAAAGCAGATTAAACAATGGATAAATAGAATAAACAGGATAAACAGACTGTATAGGAAATACAGAGAGAACAGATGTAATAGAAGAAACATAAATTACTGCTGATCACTGTTTGGCACAGCAGTGACATCATCTAGCGTGAGATCATTATTGATTGACATGTCCTATGTGATATTTGGAGTTGCAGTTTCTTCCGTTGACAATATATTTTTTTTTATTAATTAACACTTATTCATGTGATTTATGTGATATAATTTACTTATTTATGTGATACAATTTTCTTATTGAGAAATCAAACTACGCATCGACTCACAGGATAAGCGAGCGGACATCCGGACATTGCATACATTTTGCGTAGAATTATATAGTTCTTCGCTAACGCTCTAGACTAATTATTAGTATAATTGAATTTTTATACTTAGCTATATATGTTGTATTATAAAAATTTACACAAAGTTTTATCTGTTAAAAAAACTTTAGTTTTATATGCTTATAAAGTCAGATTCCTATTAAAAACTATACTATAATATCTATTCTTATTAATTTACTGCAATTTTAATTGTTTTTAAAAATAGATAAGCTAATAGAAATCCAATATTTTTTACTTCTAAATGAAGATCATAAAGTTTAAATTTCAAATTATTTGTATTATCTAAATAAATAAAAAATAAAAAATTAGTAAAATTTTACAATTTTTACATAAAAAAAAGAAAAGATTTAATACTTACAAATAGTATTAATTTATATTCATATAAATAAATTTTATTTTTTTTTTAATTATCTTATCTAAACCTGTTATAAAGCTAATAATTTGTACTAGAGATTCTGAGTAAAATATTATTTCATAATTATATTCTTTAAGTTACATTTTACTGAAATAAATTCATTTTTATTATAATTAAAATAATTAATTATAAATTTTGATTATTAAAAATATTATTTATTTTTGATTTATTAACAAATCTATTTCATTAAAAATATATTTAATATAGATTTTATAAGGTAGAAGATTAATATTTTCTTTAATAAAATTTTTAATAGAATCTGATATAGAATGATTTGAAAAAGAAGAATAAAAACATTCATGAATTATATGAATTTGATAGATGTTTTCATTATATTAATAGTAATTTTAAACATTCCATTACAATTAAATTATTCTCTAAACAATATATCATCTTTACCTATAATAAGTAATGCAAATTTAAAATAAATTATTTACTTTTAAGAATATCTATTTATATCAGAAACTTTCTTTGTAATTTAATTAGCAATTTCTTTTGATGATTTATCAAATAAGAAAGCATTTATAATATAAGCTATGTTTAACTGAAATTATTCATATTTTTTTTAATTTTAGCAAATTCATTTAGCTATTTTAAATAAAAGTCAAGAAATTTACAGGTTCAGCATCATCAGAATTACTTTCTTGCAGGCATTTTAATTTTTCTAACTGTTTTGTATAATAGTGAATACAAGTACAAAATTGCTTATTAGTCTTATTATGAAAATAAAGTTTGATAGGTAAAGTTTTATGACATTTAAAACATATTTGCAATTTGTCATTATTAATACTGTTATTTTTCTCTTAAGAGTCCATCTATATAATAATATTCATACATTAATTACAATATTAAGATGTATATAACAAAAAAAAATAAAAAAATAAATCTAATAGTAAAAAATTACAAGCAAATCCTTTATTTTAAGTATGATTAAAAACAATAAAACTTTTTTTTTCAGAGTTCAAACTTTTTTATAGTATTTTTTTTTAGAATTTATAGATAATATTTAATCTAATATATGATATTTCAATAATATAAACTTTTAGAAACACGAATTAATTAATTTACCCTAGTATTACCAACAAATTTTCCACTCCAAGTGACGTTTGGCTGGCATTACGGCATTAAGAAATTAACCATGTGACAAATAAAGGTGACAAATATGATTACGCACCCCGAAAAAAATTCCAAGTTCTCAGAATACTTATGAAAATAGAAAGCACGGAGGGTGTGACGCAGGATGAAATTTGTTGGTGATATGGTGCGTCACAAGATTTCAGGTGACTGAGATTTGGTGGTTATGTGAATTGTCACTGACGAATTTTACTTTTGTCGGGGTAAATCACGAGATATAAAAAAGAGACCCATGTAATATATTTGGGCGTAAGTATACCCAAGCATCAACAAAGAATCAGCATATTTTTAAAGTCGACAAATTCCATTCGGAGCACACGCACATAAGTTTCCGAAAATAGCAAAGATGTTCATTGATAGATTGTCCAGATCTGGGTAAGTGAAAAAATTCGAGACCTCATAAATCAGTTCAGTAAAAGTCTTGTCCATCAAATTAAAGTTTCGGTTTTAAATGTTTGAAAAGAGAAACTGTAACAAAAGGATTTAAGGTTATTTTTTTTTCAAAAAAAAAAAAAAAAATTCAATACCCAATTCTTTTCTTTTACTCATGTTGAGATGTGTGAAAAAAAAAAAAAAAAAAAAAAAAAAAAAAATATGCGAAATGTCGTTCCAAAATTATCATGCATATAGAAAAAAGAATTGATCTGATTATAATCCCCAAGATTGGAGAGATAATGTAAAAAATTAAATTTGATTTTAAGTTTCGCCCGAATTGACTGAATAACCAATGAAAAAGTGCGCCAATCCTCTTTTTACACCCAAGCAATCTGTAAAATTTGCTTCAAGATCATACATTTTTGTTAAATGTTTTTCATATGAAATTCCTTTTTTTCGATAATAAAAAAAGATATTTTTCCATAGTTGACGGCTCGCATGAAGTAGAACAATTCAAAGCATATGTATGTGGTGTGTGTTGTGTTTCGGAAAATTTTTTTATCGATTGATAAATTAAATATTGGTTTCTTTATGAGGTGTGTTTCACGGCAAAAATTATTTCAACCCCAAAGGAAATTAACCTAAAAGGATGTTGATCGGCCCTCGCATTTCGGATCTGAAATTCTGGTTAGTATCGAAAATGCATCATCAAATTACGAGAAATCAATAAATCAAACTTTTTTAAATGTCATAATCAAATCTTTTATGCCCTATCGGAAGCGAGTAATCTTACAAAGCATTATAAATTTTTTTTTTTTTCCACAAAAAATAAAATCGCACATGATTGTAACAGATTTATCCTTATTGTAAATCCATTCTAAATAAAATTGTGCTTCCTTGACTCTGGAAAAATCATTTGATACCAAGAAGAATGTGGAATTTTTTTTTTTTTTTTTTTTAACAAAGAATCGCAAAAAAAGAAAAGATAACATCTTTGTGTATTTCCGTTGTTTTAATTTTACTATTGATGATTAGGTGCGACACTTTTTTTTTTAGTCAAGAGCAATTTGAAAATTGATCGTCTGAAAGAACTCTAAAATAAAAAAAAAATTAAAAATTTAAAAATAAAAAAAAAAGAAAAAGGAAAAAAATAAAGACATTCATCTTTTAGTGGTTGTATTATTAATTCCAGAAACTTTTTTTTTTTTAAAACGAAAAAAAATTTTTTCGACAAACAAATAAGCATGCATGCATGCTTTTTCGGGATGATGGGTTTTTCATTTTTGAACCGCAGTAAACGTAGATCCATTTTCCGCAGAATTCGTCGCGCAAATTGAATTGATGAGAATTTTAACTAACGCACAGACCATATTCCTAAAAATAAAGTGATTAGACATCACAAATTCCTTTTTATTTCAAGCTTCCATTCGTAAACATAATTGAGAGATTTTCACAAAAAAAGGTGAAACGAATTAGCACGCCATCAATTGTTCTATTTCTCTTGCATGTGAATTTAATGAGATTCAGAGCCACGTTTTCTAGTTCAAAATCTTACGCGAGTTCCAAAATGGTGACAAAAAAGTTATGTAACAAGATTTCTTGTGTCAAGTCAACTCGGGAACCAAAGAGATACAATTTGCATTGAAACTGAAACGCATGGTCTCACAGGCAAATTACGCGATGCAGTTCTTCACATGAGATCTCTTATATTGAACGCTTACTTGGTTTAGATCGAATGACCCAAGGATATCACAAAGTGGAATTCATATTCGGTTTAATTAGGATGAAAGCAATCATCCCGAATATTGTAGCAAACTCGGTCCGAATTTATTGTTCTCGGATGTGAATAAACTATTTTTTTAAAGCTGCAAAGCGTAAAAGGGTTGACCCGGATAAGGGTCAAAGCACTGCCACATGGCCTCAATCTAGAGTATCCTTTTCGATATCGAGGGTCACTTACGCTGGGGGTACAAGTGTTCCCTAACAGCAACCTTATTCTGCACGTTTCGTTTATCTTTAACACGGTTTCAATTTTACAAAATAAATCATGAAAAGGATTGAAATAATGATTCGGTTTTAACCGCTAATCGTCAACCATAGTACCGTATATATGTAATAATGGTTAACGTTATTGCGAAGAAATCACCTGAGCAACATAGATGTAATAAAATAATAATTAAGCACGAGCCATCAACACCCTTTTGGTTCAAATGTTTTTCGTCAAATCATAATCATGTGATCGTGTAACGTTATTATATTTGCCGATGAAATCAGGAGATATGCAGTAATTTCACGCGGGAATTTCCAAAGCACCATTTTTCTCTTTTATTCTTCAAAATCCCAACTTTTACACATGGTTTTCTTAGGGTTGATTGACAGGTGTATGGTACGCAAATGTCTAAAGGTAAACCATCCATGTATTAACAATTTCAATACGATAAACGATTTAAAGGCGAGATTCTATTAGAAGAACAATCACCTTCCTTATTATCATGATTCTTTGAAAAAGTGTATCATGATAAAAGCCTCTTTTGAAGGTCATGTCGTGAATGCACGTTTCCGTCAAATAAATTCAACATGTTTTCAACGACCTTTTTTTTTTTTTTAAATTCAAATTGGCGTTATACCATGATCACTAAAATAAGAAAAGATGTGCATCATGAAACAAATTTCCCATTGATCGAAAATGTTTTTGTCGTTGCCCAGTTGTCACAAACGTGTGTTTAGGAAATTTATTCCACAGGCATTAGACGCCCCTCAAAAAAGACCGAAACACATGTATCGCTTCAGTTTTCTTTAAATAGGAGATGAGCATGATTTATTCTCGTGAATCCATAACGAAAAAGCAACTAAACAAAAACATGGTAATAACATGTCAAGACTTTATTTTTTTTTTTATCGAAAAACGAGTTATATATAGTTCCGGTAATGATGAACCTTTTTTTGTGACTGTTCTCGAAGGAAACGGGTGAAAATAAAAACATGAGGAACGAATAATAAAGTTTCGGGTGAACTAAAACAATCATTTTTTTTTCACAAACAATACCGTTCTTTCTTGTTTGTTTGTTTGTAACCCAAACAAAAAGTTTTATAAGATTTAAAAATCTTATAAAAATGAATCTAATGAACTTCAAAGGTTAGGCTAATTACATAAAATAAGCATAGAATGTGAAGATCTCGGAAAAACTTAGTTACACGCATGTCCCTTGAAAACAAGACATTTCTTCTATATTCAGAAGAATCACTTGAAATATGTTTCAGGGTCGCATCATTATTTACCACTTTGACACGGAAAGTGACCCTGGATGGGTGGCTCAGACACCTTTTTTAGTGGATATGACATACTGTGTGCTCCAAACAAATAAAAACAAATGGGCTCATTAAAAAGAGACAAGATGATGAGAATCGAATCTGATCGATCTCATCTTCTTCATTCTGAATAAATATTACAAACGAAATTAAACCTAATGAGATTTGGATGATTTAAGAAATAAACGAATAAACACGACAATCCGTACGTCAGACCTTTTTTCTCCTCGTCCTTTGTTCACTCTTTTATCATTAGATTTTAGATTTTGGTGATTGGAGATTAAAAATAATTGGGATCGTGACTCATTTATCTTTTAACGCGCAGACCAAAAGATTAAAGTTGATACAAGATTGGGCATGTTTGTTTGTCATCGATATCAAACTTTACTAATTATAATTAGCGGTAACTATCTCAATGATGATGCTTACGTTATTAACTTTGTTTTTTGTACGTTTGTGTGCTTTGAGGGATAAACCAGTTTTAGGCAAAGATAAGGAACTTGTGCATGGTTGACAGAGTGAAAAAGGGTTCAATCTATAATCTGGCGTAATTCTGACGGAGAGAAAATTTTGATCCTTGGTTATAATTAAATCCGTTTATTCTTATTTCATTTACCCGGTACGGTAAACTTAATCTCAAATTGATTACCCTTATTGGGATATCTCTTGTGAAATTTTCTTTGTGTTGAAGTCGTGAAACGAATAAACCTAATACACTCGGAGGGAATAAGGTTCACCAGAAAACTACCCGAATCGTTACATGTTTTAGGTTAAATTTGTTAATTTGCGCTAGACCTATTATATATAACGATTCAATTTTCTAGGTTTTCGGCACGTGCCGATCATTGATGAACTAAACTAATTTAAGTTGTTGTTTGTTCACGTGATTACTAATCCAGAAAGCTATTTTTGGGGTGGAAATTATTTAAATTATTCGCAACAATTCTATTTATTAGTTCGCTCTTTAATCGATGTCTTCATCCTTTAACCACAAAAGCTTCCTTTAACACCTTTAACAAGAACGCCTCTTAGAAATAGGAACGTGACGCAATCGACTTTCTTTAACGAATCTAAACGTGTAATACATTGGATGTCACAATAAAATGCCGAATGTCTAGGTGGCATGTAAACACAAACAATACAGCCTTCTCGCAGGAGGAAATGTCTCTGGCGTTTCTTTGTTTTTTTTTTGTTGTTGTTGTTATGCAGTGGTTGTTGTTTTTTATTTTTATTTTTTTTTTTTGAGGAAAAAAAAGAAAATTGGCAAAAGGTGTTTTTTTTTTTTGACTAGACGGCATTTTTTTTTTTTGTACTAGACATCAAAAGGATAAGATTATTTTTTTTTTTGAAATGTACCGAGAGTGTTCCAAATTGTTTGTTTATTCCTTAATAAACACAGTTTAAAAATTGTTTTTTTTTTCTAAATGCTAGAACCTTAATTCTTTTTCACGCAGAAGGTTCGATATATTAAACCTTATTCCTGACATTCTAATTAGCTGTTTATTTTTTTTTTTCTTTGAAGGTTTCCGAGATTTGTATAAATTTAGTTATATGGCGTGCTCTATTGTTATTCTCGTGTACTGTCAAAAGGTATCTCAATGTGACGAAAACGTAAATAATCGACGGTATGTTTGGAACATTCAAGATGATGATTGATGATGTTTACACCGATTATATCTAAAATCTACTCTTAATTTTTATTTTTTTTCGCTCTTCGCTCGAGAGAAAAAAAAATTTTTTTATCAAGATAAAAGTTTTTACACAATTCTCCAACTTGAAAAAAAAAAAAAAAAATTCGGGTTTTTTTTTTTAAAAGTTTATTTGAGGCGTTGTATCGTTATGTAATTAATTTCCTTGTACCTTACAACTATTTAATAAATTTTTTTTTTTTTTTTTTTTTTTTTTCGAATTCATTAGAAAACATTCGAAAAAAAAAAAAAAAAAAAAAGTTCAAAAGTTTTCATTCACAAACTTGGATATGCAGGGTAATGGCATCATCAAAATATTTATTTACTTTGTATAAATCGATCCGATGCATCCAATTTATTATAACTATTTATATCTGCCAATCTTGATAGAAAAAGGTTGATTGCATATTGGAAATTCGGGCAAAAACGTTTCATTTGAAAAAAGAAAAAAAATAATTACTTCAAAAATAATTTAAGGGAATACTTGAAAGATTACCGTATTTGTTGGTCGACAGCAATGTTGTCTCTTGGAACTTTTGCCAAGGAATTTCATAAATTCTTCCGTGAGTTTCTTCACCTAAACCTATGCGTTACGGGTAAGCATCGGTTAAAACCACAACCTCAAAGAAATGGATGAAAATGGAAAAATTTTTTTTTTTTCAACGTCCTCTCATTTGATGTGAATTAGTTCCCTTTGTTAAAGGTCTCTCAAAATGAATTTTGTAGAACAAATAAATCAGCAATTTCATTAATGCAATAGCACAAAAAAAAAAAAAAAAAAAAAAAAAAATTTTTCCTAAACTTGTTAACTTGTCAAACGAATATTCGGTAATCACAAAAGGTTAATATTGTCTTTGAGTGAAAAAAAAAAATTAAATAGTTTTTTGTTTGTACATGAAAAACCTGATAAAACCTGATAGAGGACCCGAGTTCAACCAATTTTTTGAATGCCACATTTCTTGGGGGATTATTTGTTTATTGTAATGAAATTTAATAGAAAAAATCAAGTTTTTTGATTAATATGGTTAGGATTTACTCTTTTGAGGTTAGACTTGGAAGCATAAACATCACCTTCTTTGAAATCGATTCATTGGTTATCGAACTGCATGCGCTTGCTTAAAATTTAACAGAAGGCATCTTAATGTTTTTAAAGAATTTACGAAATTTCGAATGTGACAAATGTTCAGTCATATTTGGACATTATAATGTATGACATTTCAAACCGTTTGTAAACAGTAATTTCACCTTGCGTATTCGGAACCTGGTTCCTTCCGAATTCTAAAAATCTTAAAATCATTACCCGTTAACAGTTGACCTTTTTTTCTTTAAGTAAGGTTACCAACTCTAGGCGAAGAAAGGCTGACTCGGAGAAAGTTACAAAATCAAGACCAATGACCTACATTTTTTGTGCACCGAGCAAATCTTTTTTGGTCAATCCCGGGTAAAAACTGGAAATTTCTTTTCTTCTTTTTCCTTAAAAATTTTTTCGACACGCATTAAAAATTTCTCGCGTACGACAAATTTTAAAGACGGCATATAACCTTATCAAGGGAAGTTTCGTATCCGTCTCTTTTATTTTTTATTATTATTCCCCTACAATTAACAAAAAATCAAACAAACAAAATAAAAAAATCATTATCAAATGGGAATTTCAGGGAAGCCGTATTCCAAATTCGTTGATATTTGGATCCCCAAAACGCAATGACACGAAAATCGATACCTAAAATGTCAATTGAGGATTGAAAACTACGAGAAAACAGACTACAAGAAAGGAATCATCAATCCTTAAAGATTATAAACATTCTTATCATTTCTGCTCACTTAAATATTTCTTTTTCCTCGTATCACTTGATAATCTATCTTAAAACATGAAGAAAACCGTTTTCTTTATACATTGTACACGTCACACCATCCACTTTGGTTCATTGTTTTAACTTATTTACCTGAAAAATTTTGGGCAGTGAAAGAACCCCTTCACAGAAAAAAT